AGAGCTCTCTTGGATAGCGGGTTTTCGGTTTGAGAGAACCGAACCCGACCTTAGTCTTCGAATCCCTCACCTTAGAACGAGCATGATATAGGTCCATAATCCTTTACGGCATCCTTGCATGATCGGTGAAACCCAATTCCCGCAACCGTTTCCAATCGATCGTCTTCTCTTGAAATATTTGCTTGCTTTGATTTTATTTCTCTCATTTAATTTTCTGCAACTTTGAAAACCACAAAAACAATTCTCCAATTTTATTTCTTTCATTTTCCTAGTTTTGATCGACTCCTAGCTTAGCCGCTTAAGTCCTTGTGTTCGACCCCGGTACTACGACATCCGTATACTTGCGGATTAGTTGTGTTTCGGGTTACAAATTTAAGACTCGTCACGCAAGTGATCACCAAGATCGTTGCTATGTGGAGGTAAGAGTTATAATAATTAATTTTAAAATATTATATTTTAATACTTTATTTCAATTTTAAATATTTTCTTCATTTTTCAGTCGGTCTCTCCAAATAAGGGTCGCATCTATGGATTAGGAGGATTGCAGCGAGATTTGTTCGATGATTTCGGTGCAGCAATTCCTCCTGGCATGCAGAGCGATCTCGAACAACAACGGCGGATCGAGATACTCGAGCAACAGCTTGCGGCGACGAGACAACAAGTGACTGTAATATTCGAACAATTTTTTATTTTAATATTTTAATTTTATTTTGGTTTTATTATATATATATATATATATATATTTATTAATATATTATATATATAAATATAAATAAAAAATAAAATAAATATTTAAATATTTTAATTTTGGTTTTAATATTTTAATTTTATTTTTTTTTATTTTTTTGTGTTTTCCAACGGGTTTCCAACGGGTTTCCAACGGAATTAATTTTCAATTCCAACGGACTGCCGTTGTAAATACCGTTGTAACATTTCGACAGAATTTCCAACGGATATTCCAACGGATTTCCGTGGCAAATACCGTTGGAATATTTCTAACGGATATTCTAACGGTCCCGTCGGAAAGTAGCCACGGATATCCATTGGAATTTCCGTTGATATATTCCGACGAACAAATCCGTTGGAATTGCGTTGAAAATATCCACGGAAGAACCGTTGAAAATCCGTTGAAATATTCCAACGGATGTCGGCGTTGGAATTCCGTTTGGAATTTGCCACGAAATTCCAACGGAACCGCGTTTCTAACGACTGTTTTCCAACGGAAATATCCGTTGGAAATCCGTTGGAAAAGTCGAATTCCAACGGATTTTCGGCCATTTCCAACGGATTTGCCGGTTGGAATTTGGGTTTTTTTTGTAGTGCTCTTATCACAGGTTGAGTTCTAATGAGGAGCTATTGAGGAGGCAAGGAAGCTAGCTATGCGATAGACGTAGGCAGACTTAAGTGCGAGTGAACGAACATCGCGAGCTAAGTATTCCTTTCCCTTTTTTATTTGTTTCTCTTTTGACTCATCCTATTGGTTGCCTCTACCAGACGAGAATTGACACCGAGGACAGTGTCTAGTTCAAGACTGGGGGAAAATTCGTCTAACGCCAAACCATATCTATTTAGAGTAGTGTTGCATGCATTTTTTTTTTCTTTCACTTTTTAGTTGCATGTGCATATAGAATGTTTTAGGATCATATAGTTTGTTTTTAGGACTATGCATTTACATATAGTGTGTAGGACATATAAGATCACGTGCATAAAACCGTTTTGTGAATTGATTGCTTGACCTTTAGGATTTTCTAGAATGGTTTGTGGGATAGAAATCGTTGGTTGGAACTCATGGGACCGATGTTGTCTAGCCAAGTAGAAAAGTTTCTATAAGAACATTTCCGAAGTTTGCTGAAATCGGTAAAGTCTATTATCAAATGCATTCTTATTTCTTTATGTGCAGAAAAAGATAGTGAGCATCTCGACACTCCGCTGTCACTATCTCGTCAATGAAAATCGTTCGAGGACATGAGTGCATCGATTTGATGGTTCGGGTCTAAGTTGTGGATCGGGTTATCCAAAAAACAAATTCGAAAAAAAAATTGATTAGGAACCCTTCAACTTCAACGTCCTAGGAACCCGAGATGCTAGAAAAAAAAAAGAGAAAGTCTAGCTAGATGAAAAAAAGAGAGAGAAAGATAAAAAGAATAGATGCCGAAAGCGTAGACTAGATACGATTAGGTAGAATGGCGTAATAGGTTCGAAAAACATGTGATAACTCCTATTCTTCTCTATATTTTGATGAGAGTTTGTCTAGGTTTTATAGGATAATCACATGCATTCATAGGCATTCTAGGCGTGTTAAGACACAAAACCCGATTGTGCTCTAGTTTTGCAGAGTGACAGGTTTCGAAGATGATTGGACTCGAAAATGAGCTAATTGGAGCGTTAAAGGAGAAGTCCGGATGAGGTACTCATATTGCGATATTAATAACTTTCTCTACAGAAGTCCAAATCGTGCGAGACTTGTACCATTGGAAAGAGTACTTCAAGAGCTTCGCGATCGCGTAAATCCGACACCGGAGCAGAAAGTTATGAGCAAATTCGTGAAGAGTCCGAGTCAGATAGGTCGACTTGACTCGGTCCGAGTCAACACTTTGACTCGGTCGAGTCAAAACCCAGAAAAACCCTAATTCGCAATTTTTAGAGTTCTAATGAAAGGTTAACTCTTGGGAGTCCCCCTAGGGTTATAAAATAAACCTAGCCACGTCCTAGTACAGGGGAGACCTGATATACGCCCAGATCGGAAG